TTGCGAAATTGATTTCGAACGAACACCAAAGAGGCTAATGCCAGGCTCTGCTCCTCAAGACTTAATGACTTAAGAAAAAGCCCTGATCGAGTCTTCGTATTTCCGTAAGCACCTATGGTTGAGATGTAAGCTTGTAACCATATGAGTTATATTACGAAACCGCCTTTCATAATCCTTCAGTCTAGGGTCATTAAGGTTTAACCATCCAATGAAAGACATGACTGTGGCTGGGTAGCCTCGCACGTCTTTTTTAGTTGGTGAGCCTTATCTAAAATTTTGGACAGGTTTGAGTAAAGTTAGAACCATCACTCAGCGAACAAATTGAAATAGATTTTCAAGACTATTTCATAATGTTATTCCTGGATGTTGTTTATACGGCAAACGTTTTAATCTCCTGCGGTCGACTAATAGGGAAGCTGATCAGGTATCGTGTGGTTTGGTTAAAGCAAGACTCGGGGAGAGCATTATCAGATTATACTAACTAATTATAACAAAAGGTAGTCCTAGACAATCCCTTTATGATGTACTGACTGATGTGGGTTTCCTTAAGTTACAAGATATAGTTAATGGTTTAGGAAAGACCAGAAACAGAATGCTTCGGCGGATACATGATAATAGGCACACAATTGTTCTTGCAAATATTAATCTGCTTCATCGAAAATCCCACTGAGGTATTTTATATGTCTGGCCTTCTTTGAAATTAAAATCTGCGCCGTGACCCATCCTCTCTCTTGGTATTCTCTTGCTACATAGGAATTATCGTGTCAAGATTACACACTACACTATCGTGGTTTGAGTCCAGCTGGAGCTGTTGTTAGGACCTTAACTGTGAAATACAATGTTTGCTTCAGCTCTTCTCATATCATTGCCGGAGAATCAAACTACTCTTCCTTCATCATCGCAAGCGAAATAATGTGATTAAATCTCATATAAATTAATTTCTACAATGTTTGGATTAATAAAAAAATATGAGGATGAATTTTCGGGCTATATTTACAATATTTAAAGTTAATTTTAGGTATATCCGATGAGGAGAAACGATTGTTCTGGGCCTAGATATGTTCACAGATTAGCTAGTCATATTTTACCTCTACATTTATACTATTTGTCAATTTAACTTGAGCCCTGGAGCAGGCATTTAGCTTTTGCTCGTGATTTTCATCAATTCTTTTACAATGTATTTTATATTCTAATCATTATCATCAGCTGCCGAAAAGCTTAGATACCGATACATTTATGTTACCTGATGTATAGAATAAGCCCATAAAGCTCTATAATTACTTATTCGCTTTATTTACTCGATTTACGGACCTTAAATACATATATATAGTCGATTTTACAAATGGAAGCCGACGAACTCATATTGAATGTAAATTGGTTTTATATATTGCTTCCAATAATAACTTTTCTAGATATAAATTGTTACCCATTTCTTCATATATTCTTTCAGATGGGATTTGCCATCGGCCTCTACGAATCCGGCTTCTTAGTTACCAGTGAGCCTCTTATTCCTTGTGACGGCTCGGAGATGTCGGATTCCATCTCGAGTTCCTTGATCGAAGTGGAAGAGATTAGTCAGGAGGATGACTTATCGAACATATCTCCATCTTATCTCTTGGACAACTCTCGCGATGAACTCAGTCTTTCGCCCTATAATAAGAAATTTGTTAAGAAGCAAGGTGTCCTTGGTGGTCTGGGCAAAGTGCAATTATTGGGCCGAAACCCTTCACTCGCAGGGGAGCTCTTAGATGAGGAAGAGGATGATAGCGACGGTGATAGCCTTGAAGCCTTCGTATCTTTGTTAGATGCTGATGATTCAGCTGACATTTCGGGAGATGAGGATGAATACTTCGATGATGCTGATGATGGTGAGAACAAATATAAGGAAACGAAAGTGGAGGGTCGTGGAATTATTCGTCTGCCAGTCAAATCATCTAAAAAAATGACTTCAGGCAAAGCGGAATCTATTAGACACAAATCTTCTCCCCGTGTAAAGAAATTCAATCACTCTTCAGCAATCAGGAAAGTGCCTCCATCGAAGCGGAGACGCCACTAATCTTCTATCTTTTATCCATACTTTCTTTCCTTTTTATTTTATTTTTATCTAACAATTATGAATCTTTTCGTCCATTTTTTCGAATTTTTTACCACAGCTCTTCAATTTACTTCTATTCATTCAATTATTCTCACCGTTTATATTGACATTTATCAGCTTTTTATTCATTATGCAAACCTTTGCGTTTATTTACTTTTCCTCTTTGCATTTTACTTTGCGCCGCATTCGCATCTGTCGCATACCATATATGATACTCGTTTCTACTTTTAGTTTGCCTTCTGTCTTTTGGCGCGTGCGTAGCAGTAAGCTAGTCTAACTTGCGATAAGTCACAGCATCTGTCAAAAGCTAATTGCTCGACCTTCATGTTAGTTTTCGAAATTCATATCTTACCTTAACATTGTCCTGATGTTAATGCAGCCGTAAAAATTCATGCACGTTTTTGATGAGCTCTGGATTTTTTAGATTGTCACTATCATGCATGGATAAATCTTGTTTCTTTAATAGAAGATATGAAGACCAAGATGGTGCAGCATTTAGTGTGGTCGCAGTCTCCTTTCGTTGTATAGAGATTGTTTGACCTTGTTTTCGCAACCTGGTCATATTGGTAGGAAGACTTGGAGAAACGCACCTAGTCCGGAGTCCATTGTATGCACGATCATTTCCAAAGTCGTGGTACATTCCCAGACGTTTTGCCGGCATCATAGTCGGCATCGTGAGTAGGTCTTGCAATTGGGAATGTACCACTTCCACGGTCCGACTTTGGAAATGATCGTACATACAATGGACTCCGGATTAGGTGTGTTCCTCTAAGTCTTTCTGCCAATATGTACAAGTTGCTTCTTTATTTTATTATGATGAGATTGTTGACCATTTAATGCAACATTTAAGCAAACTGATTCTTAATTACCTATGTCTTGTCTGCATCTACATTCACTTACGCCCACTCTGGTGCTAATCTATATATCTATATTTTTCTATGCACACTATTCAACAAACAGTCACGAAACTCATCAAGCTCGGCATCCCAAAATCATGCCGGGGTTTTTTTCTTTTTTTCCTACTAGGTCAAAATTATCTCTCAGATTAGTCTCAATCTTGCAAGTCTTGAGCTGCGACCCTTATGGTATTATGATCGCCCATTTGTTTGGCCTATCAAAGTTCATAAAAATATTTTATTGATATATTCGTTAATATAGGTAATAACAATAATAGGTCGTAAATGTAGATACATAATAGCTTTTTTGTTTGCCAGTTTTCAACAATTGGGCGCAATGGTTCACGTCTGTATCATAATTCGTCCGGATTTTTAGAGTGTTATTGGCACTCATTTTGAAGCGGCCTTCAAATGCAAAGTTGTGTGAGATAGGATTTCAACTGATACCACTTTTGTAAATATTAAGTTAATTTAATTGAAGATCTGAAGACCAATATAGTGTGGTTTTAGTATGGTCGTAATCTCCTTTCATTGTTTGACCTTATTCTCGTAAATTGGTCATATTGGTAGATAGACATATAAGAACGCACCTAGTCCTGAGTCCATTGTATGAATGATAATTTCTAGAGTTAAAGCATGGACGTGGTACATTCCCAGACATTTCACCGCCATCGTTAGTGAGCCTTGTTACTCTTAGCATTACACTGCAACTCTTCAAAGAAGCAAGTGAAGCCGATCCTTTGACTAATTGCTTGCTAAACATTCGTTATATCTCTCCTTCCGCTCTGGGCTAATCACCAATCCTATATCCTAGAATCCCCTCTTCATTTACGATTTTATTTTCTGTTTTTTGAACTATGGTATCGTGTGCTCTTTTGAGCGGCTTTCATGAGAACTCTCCACACCCCACACTGGATTTCTTATCCCCTCATCTTTCTTCACCCTTGTATTGGGAATGTTTATCAGTATGCCTCTTGTCCCGTATGATCAGTCTGTTATCTCTCTGATTCAAGTATTTCACTCGATCCCTGCTACCCTATCTGTACTACTCGAGGCGTTATATCCCACACTCTGACTCTGGGAGACTAACTTGAGGCTAAGCCTCTGAGTAATTCTCATGATCAAGTCTTTATTAATGGATTACGCCTATAATCAAACACATCTACTGTTATGTAGAAAAATAGGGTTTCGATGAATTCATGTTGGAGTACTTGTCATTTCATTTGAAGAGGCAAGTGTAAGCTATTCGTAAGTTGGTCCCATCGGAAGCTGTGGGGGGTTGCTTTGGAGCTGTGGTTGCAGATTTGTGCGAATAGGTCCTCGGTGCACTTCCCTGTCTTGGTTGGATGTCCTATGCTTTGTCTATATATTTGCTCATAAGTTACGTTAAGTGGCTGCGGATGATATGGGAATTGGCTACAAATGAAGCGTGAAATGGATGCAACTGAAATCGAACTGCTGAATTCTCCTCTAAAACACTTATGCCTTTGATCCTGCAATGGTAACGCATAGGATTGCGTCCCGTTGCACACGTATTGTGTGAGTGCATTGCTCTTGAAATGAGTGTGATGTGAGAGTAAAAACCATATTCCAGCCTAAGCAAACCCTCTTGCCCGGTGGTACTTTTAATTCCCACACTAATCCTATCCAAGAGCCGCAAGTAGTTTCCACTTAACATTATACACTCATTCCTTCTATTCAGGGTGCTGGCTGTTTTGTTAATTTCCATCGCCTCCCTAATCTTTCGCTTACTAGTTGGTACATTCTCCATGTCCAGCTAAGCGTTTGGCATTGGATCAATCTATCTGATGTCCCGTGCGATCCACGTGTTCGGCCAATTCTGATTTTTTTACCCACATCTTTGCAGGCTGTTCTGCATTCGCATAACTTCTTATGTATGGGTCTACAGGTCTCTCCCACATAGGCACTACCACATGAACACGAAATCTTGCAACAGCCCGATCTGTAGAGGGATCTATCATTTTATCTAGACCAACCTATGTATTTCCCTTCATTCTATTTGACAATATTATAAAATGGTTGTTAACCAGCCCTCCTGGATAAGTATTCTCAACAAAAATTTGTTCATTAACTTATGAGCAAAGCACAGGATATCCAATCAAAACATGAGATGTCTAAGTGGACCGAATTGCACTATAAGAGTGAAGTAGGCTTGAATCTGGCCACCTTTGTTGCCTTCGTGTATACGGACCTAAGCTCTGCAAGGATTGATCATGGTCGCAGGGCGGTGCTCCGAGGACCTATTCGCACAAATCTACAATCACAGCTCCAAGAAAATCTCCCAACAGCCTCCGGTGGAACCAACCTTTCCACTTGCCTCTTCAAACAAAATGAAAGGTACTTTAACACCTTTACTGTTAGCCAACTAGCTCTAGTCTTTGCCTCACCTATCCTGCTTCTATCCATAATACCAAGTCTTTTACTTCCTATGCTCTAGTCTCTTGTGTGGCAACCCACAAATTTTGTGATTTTACTGGTTTTGATTAGATTGAATGTAGAACCACAACATTTGTGGGTTGCTACTCAAGGGTCTAGAGCGTAGGAAGTCATAGACTTGGTATTATGGATAGAAACAGGATAGACGCGGTGGGGGCTAGAGCTAGTTGGCTAACAATAGACGTGCTTCATGGACCAGGTCTATGGTCAAACACATCTATTGTTAGCCGAATAGCTCTAGCCTCGACCGCGTATATCCTGTTTCTATCCATAATACCAAGACTATGACTTCCTATGCTCTAGGCTATTGAGTGCCATTCCATAAATGTTATGGTTCTACCTGTTTTTATTAGCCTCACTAAATCTATGACTTTTATAAGAATGAGTTTTAGCTTTGATCATGTCTATCCAATAATGGACGTAAGCTCAGCTTGTTTTCAACCGAAACGAGGGGGTATGTCTCGTCAACTGCAGCAACCTGAATATCGTATTAAAGCTAAACTCTACAGTACAGCGGAATTCAGCCGTCGTCTTCTGGTGAGATTAAACTACGAATATACTCTTCATGCATTTTCATACTAAATGAAGGTCTGTCCCAGACTGTTATCTCAGCAGATTTATCGAAACCTAATTACTGTTCGCATCTAAAAATATTGATAATAAAATTAAACGACAGCAGATCGAATGTGATTCTCCTAACCTATGGCGACTGAATCTCATCAGGACTTTCACTCTAAATTAAAATCTTATAATAATCAAAACTATTTGTAAGAATAATAAGGCAACTCTCTACAAAGTATTTTGAATCATTTTTTTGCAACTAAGAAAGATGCACATGCTTTCTACACTCCTACTACTGGCGGCGATAATATTCTCATCTACAACATTCCACCGCCGGCAAGAATACGGACAGTAGACATACTGTAAGTACTATATCCATTATGCTCAACTAAAAATGTATCTGACCGATCCCGCCTAGTTTCGGTCTCGAATTTAACGAGTAACGATTTCATGAAGTGTGTATGCCTTTTGGACTTTCCTAATTTCAATTGTAATCAACATTATTCATAAGGAATGCCTAAAGATGGCGAAAAATGGCTATTATGCTGTAAATACCTATCCATACAATCTTTGGTTTTGTTACATTCCGTGCTTCGTCATGGCTCACTACCCTTTGGCGCCGAAATCACGTGATTGTATGATAAAACTTCATTCTTTATTTTGCGTCGACCATTCCAAACTTGGCACTGCATCGTCCAATCAGAAGTT